CCACAATGATAATTACCATGCCAGTGGCAGGCCTCTTCTTCGATTCACAAGCCCTCATGGGTGTGCTTCTTCGTCTACTGCGAGTGGTAAGGATGGCGGTTGTAGAAATCTACTTCGACAGAGTTTTCTTGCAAATGTTCCTGGACATGCGTCGTCTCTCCTTGTCTAACATGGTTTTCACTGTTTCATGTTTGTAATTTGATACAATGATGCGCAATTTCTAAAAAAACCTTGTCAAACGATTCCTTATTTTCTAAAGAAAAAAAAAAGAGAAAATCTACTAGTAGCAAAATCCTCCCATGCAATGTAGGACCAAATCCTCTAGAAACCCTGTCCAAAGTAATGAAAATCTTGGAGAAACCGTGAACAACTCTAGCTTCGGATCAGGAGCAGAGCAAGTGCAAACGCTTTTCCCCATATAGTCCCACCGAGCTCCTATTTGGTGACCTGGGCACCAGAAGTCACGGAAATGTGCACCCCCAGCCCCCCGTGCGCCTTGTTTGGGCTAGCCCATGTGCGAGACGGGACGACCCCTGTTTTCCATTTATTTATTTTTAAAAATAGTTTAGGATTTCAAAAAAAGTTCCAAATTTGTAAATAATTGCCAATTTAAAAAATGTTCAAGACATCATTAAGTGATCATGAATTCAGAAAAACATGTCCATGATTCTGGAAAAATGTTCAACAAATCATAAATTTTTCGTGCTTTAGAAACAATGTTTATGATTTTGAAAGAATGTCTGCATATTCAAAAATGTATGTCATGTTGTAAAAATTTTGCATATTCAAAATTGTTCATGAATTTGAACAATTTTTTGTGGATTCAAATAATGTTCATGACTTTTTGGAAAAAATAAAAAGGGGGAAAATGTTCATGAATTTCAAAAGGAAAATCCCAAATTTAGAAAAAAAAATATCTATAAAAAATGTTCACTGATTCAAAAAAATCATGAATTCGAAAAATGTTCATGCATTATAAAAAATGTGCATGAAAATAGTAAATTTTTCGTAAATTTCAAAAATTGTTTGCATTTTTTAAAAAATATGCACAATTTATAAGATGTGCATGATTTAAAAAATCATGAATTTTCAAAAAGTGAACACGGATTGGAAAATATTCATGATTTAGAAAATAATTTCACAACTTCTAATAATGTTCCAATTTCTAAAATGTTAAAAAAATTGAGAGATGTTCGCAACATTGAATAAGAAAAAGAAAAAAAGGAAATAAGAAAAATAAAAAAAGAAAAAAGAAACATAAATAAAAAATTTAAAAAGGAAGAAAAAAAGAAAAAAAATGGTTTAGGGAAGGTTCTAGAATAAATCCTAATTGGGCCGGCCCAAAGAGTGGACCTAGGCGCTGAATAGGATCTTCCCCACCGTGGCGCCTCCCGCGACGATTCAGGCCTCTGGCCTCAAGTCTTCTTCTAGCAAATATTCTTATCTGAAGTAACTACCACATCAGTTAATGCAAGATGTAGCGCAGGGCTATTGCCTCCCGACATGCCAGAGCCTCAAGGGTCGTCGGGTCTATAATGCCTATAAGCATCTAATAGCGGAAGAACCCATATATGTCCCAGAGGAATTTCTGCATACAATGTTGTAGGTCACTTTGTTTGTCTTTCTCGAAACCGCTCCATCAATGTTGCAAGATCCTGAGCATGCGGGATCCATCTCTAATGCGGCTGAGAAGAGGTGATTAATTTTTTTTAGCAAATGACAAGAGGAGTTAGATTTTTTTTGAGTTTGATGAAAAGGGGCGATAAACGAGTATTCCTTTGACCGACGGGAGTACTAATTAAAAGAGAAAAAAGTCCCATAAAAAAGGGAGGCAAAAAATTACCCTAAAGAAAAGAGTTTACTATCAACTTTAACCATTGCTGGGCCATTGCGTGAAGCCACCCACAACAAGGTCGAGCCACTCAGTTCCTCTATTCTCCCTAAAAAAATGTTGTCATGCTCGATTTTAAGAAATGAAAATAAGCTTCCCCCTGCCCACCACCTAGGCCCAAAATCCTATCCCCTTTCCTCGCCCCCTGCCTCTCCGTCTCCGTCGACGTCGAACGGCCCGTGCTGCGAGGATCTGCTGCTTCAACCAAAACGCGGTGGTCCTTCTCCGCCACCCTAGTCGTAACCTCCAGCGACAACGTACAGGAGTTGCTGGGTGTTCGATTCGGCTTAGGTCCCCCCTTCGTCTCAAAGGTACGAACCAGAAGTAGCGAGCTTTTATGGGTACCTGTGCGATGTCTTCGTCTGCAGTTTTGTGCTTCGACATGCGTCCGGGGCGACCGGAGTAAATGCCCGTGCCAATGCCCCCACTTTTTGGTTAGATCGGGGGTTATAGGGCGGATAGATTAGCTAGGCGTGGTGTTCCCCATCCCAAGTCATGCACAGGGCTGGCCCATAGGTCAGGCAAAAGGGGCGACTACCCAGGGCCTCAAGAGGGGAGGGCCCCGACTATAAATTATACTAATAAGCACTATATAATTATAAATTACATTTGAAAGATTATTAAATTCATAAAATAGAGGCTCAATTTGCAGGAGCGTAAGTTGACAACACATACTAATAGTTTATACCACGCGGAGGCAAACCAACTCGCCTGGGAAAGTTTAGATACGCTAGTCTCTCTTTATGATAGATGTCTTTATATCATAATGAAATTTATGATAATTAGTTTTCATTGTTGAAACCAATCCATAATTTTTCATTTGAGAAATAGATAGTACATCTCATTTGCACCAAATCAAACTAAGTGAATCTAGATGGTCAAATATAATCGAATCATACGCAAAATTACACTCAAGAACATATTAGTTTCTTAAATGACTCTATCACCGAACCCAACTTGGATGTCACATTTGATATACCCTAGAAGTTTCTACGAATATGGTTGCCTGATATACAGTAGAAATCTCTATTAAAATATTTATAATTTATAAATCTCTACCACGACATTCAATAATATTGAAAGATATATGGACACGCGCATGGATATGCAAATATATGTATATACACTATACAATTTATGCAATATTATAAAATTAGTTAGAAAACAAAAAAGATATTTTTTGTTATACCTTACAATTTAAATTTTGTACAATCAAAATTCAAAGATGTATTAAAATTGTATAGCAACGAATAATATAACTATTATTTGAAAACATTGTTATGCAGCTAAGTAATAGAAAATTATATTAGTTAAAATTGTTATATGGTACACTTAGTTTAAAATAAGTATAAATATTTGGTATAAAAAATAATGGTTTCACATCGCCCCGGGTCCAAAAATGGTTTGGATCGGCTCTGGTTATGCCCTGTCTGTGACTAGTTTATGGAACAAATTGATTGACTCCTTGTGTGATGCACCTGTTGTGCCGTCGGTCATCAAACATCTTGATTTTGATCGCAGTCCCATGAAGTTTTTCAAGGGGCAGTACATCATGAGGCCCATAGTGTCCCAATGTTTAATTGAGAAGGATGCACCATTTGAATCATATACCTTCTTGAAGAATTTTCGACATGCAAATGTCGTCAAAGTGGAGAATATGTATGATGACTATGGTTTTCCCAGATTTGTCATATCGTGGGTTGATGGCAGCCTAGTTATTTGATTGAAAAACGTTGGTCCTAGAATGATGTAGGTCTAAGATGAAAGGGAGTGTTCCAACTAGTGCACTAGGACAGATGATACTGTGAGTCCATGATACGAGTTAGTATTTCTTATCTTTCATTCGTACTTGCGATCTTTGGTTGATATTTATGTTGGCATTGAGGGGACAAAATTTTATGGTCTAAGCTAAGTTATGAATGTGACTAGTTATATTTGTATGCAGCAATCTTTGCAGTGGGCTTGAAAATTTACTGAAGGAGCAATTGTACCCTCCAAAGATTGCGCTATAAGATATGTATGTTTGTGATTTGAAAGAATATTCACTTATTTAAAAAGTGTTCGTGAATTTGAACAAAATTTCATGGATTCAAATAATGTTCATAAATTTTATAAAAAAGTATAAAAAAATATAAAAAATATTGGTGAATTTCATAAATTGTTTCCAAATTTTGCAATAACACTTTATCGGCTAAAAAAAGGTTCGCTTATTGAAAAATGTTCATGGAAACAGAAAAAATAATCGTGAATCTTCAAAAAGAAAGTTCCCAGATTTAAGAAATATTCATGGGTTTGAAAAAACATTCAAAATTATAAAAAAAATTCACATATTCCAAAAATGTTTACAATTTTTAAAAATGTTCACGAATTTGTAAAAGATGTTCACGAATTTTGAAAAATATTCATGATTTCGAAAACAATTTCACAACTTCGAAAGATGTTCAATATTTCAAAAATGTTCACAAATTTGAGAGATGTTCCCAAAAGTGAAAAAGAATAATAAAAATAATTAAAAAATAAATAAGAAATAAGAAAAAAAATAAAAACAGAAAAGAAAAAGGAAAAAGAAACATAAAAAATAAAAAAATAAAAAAAGAAAAAAGAAAAAAGAAAAGAAAGAAAACCGGAAGAGAAAAGAGTAAAAAATAAAAGAAAACGGTGGAGTATAAACAGGCTGGGCCAACACTGGATCTGCGAGCTGGAGAGGTGGGCAACCTACGCCTCCCGCGACGCTTCAGGCCTCTGGCCTCAACTCTTCTTCTAGCCGCCCCCTGTCTTGTCCCCCTCTCTCTTGTCAGATCGATCCTCTGGCAGCCAACTTCGCTGTGGCCGCCGCAGCCGTCCCTCCGGCGAGGGGAAACAACCTTCACTTGCGACTTCCACGCGTCGGGACTCGGGTCGCCGCTCGCCAGTCGCCACCAATAGCTCTGCCGGTACCCCTCCGTGACCCCCCCAATTGGTTCTTCGTTGGATGTTCTTTACAACCTTAATCGGTTTGGATTTTGTTCGTTCATCTCCGTTGTTGGCTAGGGTTTGGCGAGGATGCAGCACCACGGATAGAACGAGATTTAGTTTTACTGTCTTTGTAGGCAAGAACATTGCCGGAGAGATGTCTCAGAAGCGAAGGGAGAAGGTGGATACAGGCCCGGTTCCACGGAAGCATGGTGCAATGGAGAAGACGTCCTCCCCTGATCAGCCCCGCCGACAGGCGCAGGGCATCCAGCGGCCTGTCAAGACTGAAGCACGACTTGCCGGTGAGAAGAAGCACAAGACTGCTGCACATATCACCGGAGAGAAAAAGCACACGAGAGGCAATAGTGCATCTTTTCCCACGGAAAGAACCACGCCACTAGTCAAAGCAAGAACGAGTTCCGGCTGTTCCGATGAATGTACCAGTCGTCCGATCGATGCTCAGGACCATGGCAACACTGTTGTTATCCAGGAACAGAGGCAAGAATCTGCCGCGATCAAGATAGATAAAGAAGTGGAGTACATAACCCAAAAGTTGAATAAGTTGGGAGTGAGAGATGATATTGGCTTTGAGGAGTACTATGAATGCTTGATGAATCTGCCTCCCGACCCCTCCCTTGATACTTCCATCAGACTGGATGATACACATCGTTATGACATGGACATCCAACATGCGGTGTATCGCATCAGATCCTACAAGGTTTCATCCATCCATGCCTCTATGTTTCAGTCATCTATTAAATACTGTTCAATCAATACATTTGCGTTTTGCGAATTGATGTTAGTTTGTTCTATCCTGCTTATGCTGTTTTTTTAAACTCATAATCCATATCTAATTCCAATGGGGATACCATTGCCTACAGTCGTTGTCACAAAAGGAGTCCAAGAATGAGTTGTGCCGTGATGAACTGAAAGATTGCCCTATGGAGCTTCTTGACAGGGAAGAATTTCCTACAGATTTCCTCGTGAAGATGAAATATTTTAGGTTCTTGGAGGAAGAAGGTGTATTAGACTGGTTCTTCCACCCTGAACTCTGCAAGCTTGCTTGCCTGAATGACTACCAGCGTCTAGTGCCTCGGGATCATGTACGTATATAAACTGATCATTGAGTGTTCCTGTCATCATTTAATTGCCTTTGCTGTTCCATTGTGTTAGGATGGCTATTTAGAACCATTCATCGTAATTTCAACACCATGATATACCAAATGATCTGTGTGGCCTGTTTTCAGAAAAGGGTTAAAAAGTTATCTATTATGTAAGGATCTACATTACAGAGCAATTTACATGTTGGAGTTATTGATGAGTTCATGATACATTTACTGGGTGTTAATTATCTTTTCCTTAGATGGTCCATTTCATAATGTTATATGCTGGAAAATGTACATCATTGAATTATCGGCCTCTATTAAAAACTGGCCAGCTGACTACTTCAACATAGTGCCAACCAGGATATTCTCTTTCCACTTTATTGCCTTTCTTGATGCTCATATTTCTTTTGCTCAAGCAGTTCTATGCATATTTTTCTGTTAGAAATAGTATTGTGACTTAATAAATTTATTTAAAAAGAACCAACATACTCTTTTACGCATAGTAGTAGATTTTTGCTTGTCCTGTATCAAACCTTATTTTTGTTATCGCTTCTCTCTATTTATATTTTTTTATTATTTAAGGCATATGTTATTTGTCATTCTAAATCATGTTTCCTCTTTCCCTTCATTTTCGTGTAGGGTGTTGTTTTCGATTGGGAGTACGCTGATTGGGAGTTGTACCGCAGTTACTTCCATAGCTATGAGATGCAACATGAATACATCGAGTACTTTGAAACATTATTAAGGGAACTTAAGGTGTGCATCGCAAAATCAAGCAAGACTAGCATTCCTGCAATCATTAGATTTTTATTATGGGACTAACAACCTCTCTTTTTATCTTGATACAGTGGTTGAAAGATTGTCTACTGGTTAAGGATGCTTCTCCTATTGTAAGTACATGACTGCACAAAAATCATGGAATGGCAATTTTCTGTATATGTTATGGCACCAATGGTATTTCCTCTGTTCTTTAGGCAAGCAAAATAGAGACCAGAGGAATTTATCAAGCAACTAAGATCGCCACTCGCTTTCCCAAGATCACAACTCATCTAGTTCGTATTGGCTTCAGTGTATGATCTCTACCATAATCACTAACTTAATTTTAGCATGGCTTTGCATTTAACAGTTTCATTATTTCAATGCAGGATTGTGTTACTTACATGGGCATTGAGGCTAGGTGGTGTGATGGATCCGATGGTCTCCATTTCGAGATTTGGAAGCGAGTCACTCAACAAAAGGTTAGCATTCAGTATTGTAACCCAGTCTTCTGCACACTTACTGGGTATCCATGTAATTCTGATTAATTCAGTATTGTAACTCAGTCTTCTGCACACTTATTGAGTATCCATGTAATTCTGATTAATTCGTGTTGTTTATGAACCCTGTATATGTATACAGTATTGCTTGTTTTTTATGAGTATTCATGTAATTCTCATTTCTCAACAATGCACAGGAGAGTTTCGAAAATGCTTTGAAGGAAGTCTATTTACTGAACAAGTGTCCGTCGCGGCAAGATAGCATTGAGTATGCCATAGAGTATGACCATTCCGTTATGAAACTAGAGGTAGGCTCTTCTTCACAGATAATTGTAAGCCCAGAATTTGCAACATGCATGCTTATCTCTTTTGCTTCACAGATAATTGTAAGCCCAGAATTTGTAACGTGCATGCTTATCTCTTTTGCTTCTTTTCTTCGCCTTTTCAGTTTCTTCATTGCACGGCAAGAGTTCCCAAGGAAGTAAGTAATGTGATATGCGTGTGGGATTGATCCAGTGGATTAAATTTCCTTATATATGATTTGATTTCACGTCTGATTGCCTTAGGTATCAGAGGATAAAGCTCAGGAGTTGATTACAGAGAGAGTTAAAAAGCTGGTACTGTGCTTGAAAGAAATTGCATCTTGATATGATATATATACATGTTATTTCAAAAATACCGTTATGCTAAGAAAATATCATTTATTTACAGAGGATAAAACCCAAATTCTTTGCTGACTATATCAGAAAGAAGATAGACATTGCCAAAACTATAGGATTGATTACCGAGGTATAGTATCCCAATCTTTGTTTATAATTGCGTATAACCAAATTATATGCACGCCCTAACAGCGATTGTATGATTTTACCTTTGCAGGTTTAAGAAGATATTGGGCCTGGCTTTTCGTCGTTGGAGCTTCCATTTCTTCAAGATGTCTTTTCATGGATTCCATCACTTTTGCTGGTGCAATGAACAATGAACTAGATCAGACTCGTAGCTCTTACAAAGTACAGTAGTATAGTACATTTGGGATCTGAACAAATACTCCAAAATGATGCATTAAGTAAGTTTCAGTCGCAGGAACTGAGTAATACTAATAATAGTAAGTTTGGGTCCCTGTAATTTAACACAACACCTTGTATGTACTCCTCTGACCTCCGTCCTCCTTCATCCTTGGAATAGCTAGTGCCTTCATTTTTATTTGCATTGTAAGGTTTCAAATAAGAATATTTCATACTGCACAGATTGAAAGAGAAGATTCAACAGGTGTAGCAACATGAAATTTCAATGCGGATCAAATATACAAGAACTAACCTTTTGAGTAAAGGCTTGCGGTACATTTGCTCCTCTTGTTGATATTGTGGATGACTTTTAATTGCTGAGAAAAACAACGTTGATGTCTTTTAATCGCTGAGAAGAACAATTGGTTCTGTCCTTTTTCTTCACATCATTGCTGGTCCACGGTTCTACCCTTTTATTCCCCTAACATCATTGCTGGTGGTTCAACAAGCGAGTAGAAGAATAGACAGTTAGCAATAAGGGCAGAAAGAATGAAAGTGTTCTTTTGATCCCGAGCTCATATGCTCTTGCATGAACAGTAAAATCGGAAAAACTAGTTAAAAATTTCAAAAAATCTGAATTTTTTTTATGATGAACATTGATGAATGTTCTAACTGCGTGCAAAATTTCATATCAAAATGACATTTGTGGAGGTCTGGGCAAAAATAACAAAATCAATGCTCCAAAATGCTTCCAACAATAGTCTTTTTGGAGCAACGATTTTATTCTATTTGCCCAGACCCCCACGAATGTCATTTCAGCCTGAAATTTTGCATGCAGTTAGAAATATTGTCAATGTTCATCACAAAAAAAATCAGTTTTTTTGAATTTTTTTATAATTTTTTTTTGATTTTCGATTTTTCTGTTCATGCTTGAGCATATGAGCTCGGGATCAAATACTCCATGTCCCGGAAATATGCGTTATACACAATCATATTTCCGAACCAAGATCGACGGCTCACACTATG